ATAGGTGTTCTGTGTCTCTGATTTATTCCCAAATACTTCATCTTTTGGGTGGCTATTGAAAATGGTATTGTTTTCCTGATTTCCTTTTCAGAGTTCTCTTCATTAGTGTAAAGGAGTCTGACTGATGTTAGCATGTTGATATTGTGTCCACTACTTTGCTAAATCTTTCATTTTGTTCCAGTAATTTTCTTGCTGAGTATCTGGGAGTTTCTATGTATAGGATCACATCATCTGCAAATAAAGATAATTTTACTTCTTTGCCTAATTGAATGCCTTTTATTTTCCCCTCTTGCGTTATTGCTCTTGCTAGGATTTCTAATACAATATTGAATAGGAGTGGTGATAAAGGGCATACTTGTCTGATACCCACAAGGGTAATGCTTTCATCCTTTCTCTGTTAGCCATTGGTTTTATATAATGCTCTTATTTATGTTGAGGAATTTCCCTCTATTTCCTATTTTGCTGAGAGTTTTTATTAGGAATGGGTGTTGATTTTTGTCAGATGCCTTTTCTGTTTTGATTAATACGATCATGTGATTCCCTTCCTTTGTTTTATTAATGTGGTGGATTACATTGATTGTTTTTCTAATGTTGAGCTATCCTTGCATAGCTGGTATGAATCCTACTGGGTCATGATGTATCATTATTATTTGATATATTGTTGTTTTCTATTGGCTAGGATTTTATTGAAAATTTTTGCATCTATATTCATGAAGGGATATTGGTCTATGATTTTTTTTTTTTATGGTATTTTTGCCTGGCTTTGGTATCAGGGTTATACTTTATAAAATGAATTCAGAAATATCTCTTCCTTTTCTGTATTCTGGAATAGTTTGCGTAGAATTTGTGTCATTCCTTCTCTGAATGTTTGCTAGAATTTGCCAGTAAATCTCTCTGGGCCAGGACTTTATTTTTGTTAGGAGATTTTTTTTAATGGCCTATTCAATTTCTTCTTTTGTTATGGTCTGTTTAAATTTTCTACTTCAGTCTGTGGTAGTTTAGGTAAGGAGTGTGTTTCTAGAATTTGTCCATTTCTTTTAGGTTTTCAAATTTGTTGGAGTACAGTTCTTCATGATGTTGTTAGTTGTTGTTAAGTGCCGTGGAGTCGTTTCCGACTCATAGTGACCCCATGCACAGCAGAACGAAACACTGCCCGATCTCACGCCAGCCCCACAATCCCTGCTATACTTGAGCCCATCATCACAGCCACTGTGTCAATCCATCTCGTTGAAGGCCTCCCCCTCTTTCGTCGACC